ACAATAGGGAATCCAAGTTTTACATAGAAATATATAGAACAAATGTTTAAAAATCTTCTTCTCAAGAACCACTGGTCCAGGAAAGCTGAAACTTATGTGGGAGCATTCTTTGGCAGTGTAGATATTAAATTGTTAAAATCATGACCCCCGGGGTTAAGGCGGGGCCACAATAGGGAATCCAAGTTTTACATAGAAATATATAGAACAAATCTTTGAAAATCTTCTTCTCAAGAACCACTGGGCCAGGAAAGCTGAAACTTATGTGGAAGCATCCTTGGGTAGTGTAGATATTAAATTGTCAAAATAAAGGCCCCCGGGGGTAGGGCGGGGCCACAATAGGGAATCCAAGTTTTACATAGAAATATATAGAACAAATCTTTAAAAATCTTCTTCTTAAGAACCATTGGGCCAGGAAAGCTGAAACTTATGTGGGAGCATCCTTTGGTAGTGTAGATATTAAATTGTCAAAGTAGAGACCCCTAGGGTTAGGGCGGGGCCACAATAAGGAATCCAAGATTTACATAGAAATATATAGAACAAATCTTTAAAAATCTTCTTCTTAAGAACCATTGGGCCAGGAAAGCTGAAACTTATGTGGGAGCATCCTTTGGTAGTGTAGATATTAAATTGTCAAAGTATAGTGACCCCTAGGGTTAGGGCGGGGCCACAATAAGGAATCCAAGTTTTACATAGAAAGATATAGAACAAATCTTTAAAAAATCTTCTTCTCAAGAACCACTGGGCCAGGAAAGCTGAAACTTATGTGGAAGCATCCTTGGGTAGTGTAGATTCTAAAGTTTTAAAATAAAGAAGGGAAGGGGGTTGTTGGGCATGATAGGTATAATAGCAAGAGGGGGAATCTGGTAAAGATCTGCATCACCCAAGTTACTCAGGTGAGCGATGTGGCCCATGGGCCTCTTGTTTTGAAAATAACGTTATTTAAAAAAAAAAAAAAAAAACTATGCTGTTATTTCATCAATTTAAAAAAGAAGGAGACTTGAAGATGAAGACACTGATATTTCAAGGAATAAAATAATAATAAAAAAAATCATTTCGAATTTGGTATTTACATGTATGAATCTGTGGAGAAAAGTATGTATATGCATAGGTTCACACATTATTTAATTTTATATTTGTCACAAAGATTTCATAAAAACTTAGAATTTCAGTGTATACATAAATTGTTTTCTTGGGAAAAAAATGGACCCTCCCAGAAAACAAAAATTATATATATTTACATGTATATATACTCACACATCTATATATCAAATTATCAATGCGTATAGTTATACTTTTTTTTTTATAAGTGCCATTTTGACCAAATGCCGTTTTGACCAAATGCCGTTTAGACTAAGTGCCGTTTTCACTAAGTGCCGTTTTGACCAAGTACCGTTTTGCATAATCCAAGTGCCGTTTTCACTAGGTGCCGTTTTCACCAGGTACTGTTTGAACCATAATTCGTTGGGGATATTTAATGTACATATTAAATATGTTGAAATAGGAGGCAAATTACAAGTTTTGGTTTCACGTGGATTTCACTTTTCAAGCAATCAAACGTAAAACCACTATAGAAATTGTTTCTACAGAAAATTCCTCCCTCCTTTCCTATGTGTCTTAAATATAAAAAAAAAATCTGTAGAGCCATTACTTGAAATGATGCAAGCTATTGACAACTAAGTTGAAGAAACAAGAATATAATTTTTTTTTCAAAAAAGTAAGAAAGTAAACCTTTCACACATTCTATGGTTCATACAATGACTTTGGCAAACAATTTCAAAGTATAATTAAATCTGATGTTGGCCACCCTTTTTTATTCAAATTGTTAGCTGCAGATCAGTAGCTCGTTGTATCGTTGGTTTGAAAAATTAAGATGGACGCCCATCCTCTTTTTTAGACTAGCGAGCGTCAGATATACAGCTTACAAATTTAGACCATTATTTTTCCCAAATTGTCTATGGAGTGCTGATTTCTGAAAAAAAAAAATGAAGTATTAATCGTTAATTGATCTCTCGATCCCAGTGATACAATATGTGTAAAAAGTAAACAATTTATTTTGCTTGTACTTGATAAGGGTGTGTCCATAATTTTTCAAGTCTAATAGCAAACATTATTTAAAATGCAATCCATATTTGAAAATTAAATGTGATGCATATGATACTTGGCATGAAAACTTTACATGTCCAATCCACAGGTGCTTGTGAGGTGCCCCCCCCCTTTTTTTCAGCTCACCTCAACGAAGTTGGGGGAGTTTATGTAATACCCTCGGCGTCAGTGTCGGCGTCACGGGTTAAGGTTAAGTTTTTTGGAGCAGTTTTCTTTTTAAGTACTTCTGTGTCCTATATTGATTACACATGCATGGAAGATGCATTCTGGAGAGTAAACATTATATAATCAATCATTGTACCAGTCAAAGTTTCACATGCTGCAATTTCAGCAAAGGAATGACCAGGTTATTGTTTTTGGAGCAGGTGAACATTTTTTGTGCAGTTTTTGGTGTAGGTCTCATTTCCAAAGAAATATAAGCCCAATGTTGATCTTTTACCAAACATCTAAGGATGCACACTACCAGACTTGCTTAGGATGCTGAATCTGACCTACATTTTCCGCATGAGTGAACAGGTTAATGTTTTTGGTGCAGGTTACATTTCCAAGTAACTATAAGCCCTTTGTTTACCAAACTTGCAAGGATGGTACATCTAAAGATGCACTCTACCATGCTTACTTCGGATGCTGAATCTGACCTACATTTTCCGGTTGAGTGAACAAGTTGAAGTTTTTGGTGCAGGTTTCATTTCCAAGATACTATGAACCCTATAATGACCAAACTTACATGGATGGTACATCTTTGGATGCATACTGTCAGACTTGCTTCGGATGCTGAATCTGACCTACATTTTCTGGATGAGTGAACAGGTTAAAGATTTTGATGCAGGATTTATTTCCAAGTTACTATGAGCTCTTTAAAGGCAGAGATTTTAAGCACCGCCTTGTAAAATACCTGGTCTGGGTAGCCCTGTCAATCAAGTGTATGAAGGTCCATCATTGGATGCTGGAACTTGATTGACAGTTACTTACTGGTCTCTGTGTATACCCAGTACACCTTGTTTGGGACTCATAGTGACCTTTTATAATTAACATTTGATCCTTTGTTTTTTACTGAACATTGCATACAGAGACTGTATTACTATGAACATTTTTAGATTGATAATATATAAAAATAAATATACCTTTAGTACTTGAAAGAATTATAATATAATATACATTTTTCAAAATTAACCTTTGGTACATTTTTTTTTTCAAATGAAATTTCGATATTAATTTTAATATGCTAAATCATTATGGTAAACCTCAAGTGGAAATGTTATTGATAAAGTTCAGACCAGCACTAAGTGAAGTAATTAAATTTTAAAATAATGTTTCTAATCATGGATCACTTATATTTTCCTTTTTTAATCAGATAAGAATTTACAAGCAGTCTTTTTAGCATGTTTCATGGTGAAAAAGCTTTATTATGGTTAGGATAAATCTAGTTATTTTTTTAGTGAAATGTAGTTAACAGGACTCTCTTTTTAGTTGATTAATAGAGAGAATCCTGTGGATGAATAAATTTTAAATGTCGAATTGGGTTGTTACAGGAGTTGTTTTTTTTTTAAATTAAAACATACACTCAAATCTAAAATAATTTTTTTAATATTTGAATTTATAGTATTATATATCATATTTTTAAATAGTTAGGAGTGCTCTCAAAAAGTCAAAAATAAATCAATATAATTGAAAAACCCGTTTACCACTAATTTTAAAATTGTCTTAAAATCCCCAACACAGGTAAAGTTTGACACTTGGGGTATTTCACTGTGTATTAAATCACTTCCTGTGTATAGGGATTAAGAGACATGCAGATGACCAGAGGCAGACTGCTAGCCCCCAAGGCATTCACACCTGTACAAAATAAGCCCATCCCTCACCTGGAATTTACCACCCGGTAAAAAATCTCTTGCCTTTAATGACCAAACTTGCATGAATGATAATCTAAAAATGCATTCTACCAGGCTGGCATCGGATGCTGAATCTGACCTACATTTTCTGGATGAGTGAAAAGGTTAAGTTTTATTCAGGTTTCATTTCTAAGTAACTTATGATGACCCCTATTTTGTGCAAACTCGCATGGATGATACATCTTAGGATGCACACTAATGGACTTGTTCCAGATGCTGAATTCGACATACATTTTCCAGATAATGGACCAGGTAAAAGTTATGGGTGCAGGTCATTACCAAGAAACTATAAGGCTTACATAAACCAAACTTGCCCAAATGATAGTCCATGGGATGAAAACTCTCAAACTTGCTTCAGATGCTGGATTTTAATAACATTTCCATGATGAAGAACTAATTTGAAGTTTTTATATAGGTCTATTCCAAAGTATCAGATCAAAATTGCATAAATTTTGCACTTTTGGATGTACACTTTCTGTTGGATAATTTTGGGACTTTTTTTTAATACAAAATTTATTCACATAAGTTGGGTAATTGTGTGACTTTGCCTTACTTAAAGACAACATTCGTTGAGGTGAGCTCTGTAATCTCTGATTACCTATGTTATTATTTGTACAAGTATTATTTCATAAATTAATCCTTTAACCTTGTGCCTGGACACAGGTGGTCAAAGGAGGTGGGCTGCAAAGTTGATAAACTGCACATCAAGATAAAAAGCATTGCAGCTGTTCAATGTACAGTAGATGATTTTATTGTGTATCAAAACCTTTATTCTTCCATATTCTTATTTCTTAGTCAATTCTATAAGCTTCATTCTTCAATATTCAGATAAAGGTGATTAGATTTCTATCATAATCTGAGATTCGCCCAAAAAATTACTTCCTCATGAAAATGAAGATTCTTTAAATAGCAATCCAAAAAATCTGGCCTCCATGAATTAAAATGATTCCATAGCAATAATGCATCTAATAAACAACAAAACCCAAAATAAATAAAAATTTTCCTTTAATTTTCTACATTCACTGCTCACATAATATTCGTTAAACACTGGTATTGTGTTATGAATTTTTATTATCACTATCATAATTCATTATCATTCTAAAAGCAGCTGTATCTACAAAGAAGTCATTTTCCATATAGAGGGGTCGGTGTTTGACTCTCACTCGCTCAAACAAAGTGGGCGTTTCTACATTTTCTATATCTGCTTTCGTAAATGTCATGTCCTTTTTAGTACCAATAAAAGTCAATGTTGTTACAGTGAATATCTTAGTTTCACGGTTGTAGTACAAGGCAGTCACGTAGCGGTAAACCAACCAATGTATGATGCAGGGTTGAAGGAAAATGAAGAATCCAGAGATGAGCCCACATGTTGCCTGAAGGAATGGGGGAAGATTCTCTGCCCGCATAAAGACATATGGAAGGAGGGCCATACACGTCATACTGGAGGAAACAGAGAGGATCTTCAGACCCCTGACCCGCGAACTCAGGGGCCCGTAGTAAACAAGGTCTCCCTTCTTAGGGTCACGTAGTAAAAGTCCTGATTCCTCATGTAACTCTGCCTTTGAGGTCAAGGGCCTATAACCACAAAGATAAACTGGAGAGCCACAGCTCCTAGACTTGAAACAGTGGTGATTGGATGACCCCTGGTGACAAACTGAATGGAGATTGGGTGACCTCTGGTGACAAACTGCCCATCCAGAGTAAAGCCGGCTTGCTGCTGGGTGTACACTGTATATACTGGTTAGCTGTGTCCAACATAAGCTGATGCTACACTGAAATATAAAAAAACAAGAGGTTAATTCTAGCAATTTTTGATAGGGAATTTTAATTTTGCAGATTAAACTTCTGACATAAGAAACGTTATATAAGTGACTGTAATTGTCAATATGTTTTATTTCTTTAAAGGTTTAAAATCTTAGGAATGCACCTTTCTAAAGAGGTAATATAACAACAATACTATTTTGAGATTACTTTTTAGTTTTTACATGCCTCAAACTTGAACTAACATTGAAAAAGGTCGAGGAAACTCGAATTTTTTATAGTTGCATTACACACCTTTGGCTGTGAGGGAACTTGCGCAGTCCTTATCAAGCCTAGTCCTAATCTCCAACAATTCATCATCAACATTTACACTAAGCTACAAAACAGAAACATTATCTCTACAAACTGGACCGGTTTCTCTCATTCACTGTCACACTCACAGTGTCGGGTCATTGAAATGTTGCAAAAATATGCACTTCGAACCCGATAAAAATCGGTCCTACTAAACAGAGTACGATAGAGTACTTCAGAGTACGCTAGTAAAAATTATTTTTTGGAAGGGATCATATTGAAATGTAGTTACTAGTAGCATGACGTGATGAACTTTCGCTGTATGGTCAGCCGACCAAATTGTCTGATTGACAGTATATTTAGATATAAACTACGAATGTGTCATGTAAATTTTGATTTTATAAGGGTGGCAGCAAAATACAAAACTTACGACTTGACTACTTGTAAATTTTGTATAAATTTACTGCCATCTGGTAAATTCAAAATTTACAAAATGACACATGCATAAAACCTTATTCCGATTACAAGTAATAACTGATACATATCGAATCAACCAGCAATTTCATAGAATTTAAATTCTATTCATTCATTAAAATTTATTAGGCCTGTATCTTCACAACTTCACTAACTTCAACCAAGCCAGTAACGTTTGAATTGCTGATGTATCGTAACATGGCTTCATATTTCATCCATGTCTGTCGGCCCTATGACAAGACCTTTTCATGACTATAAATACATTTAATCTCTTGGGAGTTCAGTTTGGAGATTACCGAGAAAAAAAAAAAAAACCCACAACGCTTGTTCTTCGAAACTTGGGGTGTCCATTACCGCATCATCTTATCAATAAGACAATTGGGAACACAGGCACTCGATCAACGTAACACATTTTTCATATAAAAAAAGATATCCCATAAGCTTTTTTAGAGTAAGAAAAATATGTAACTGTGATTGGGGATAACATCTCATTTTCGCTACACAGTTGATTCTGCCAGTTCAATCATGCATGTATAGGAAGCCATCTTCGCTAGCTATATACTGAAGGGTTTCTGATACACTACTCTCCTGAGGAGAGTAACGTATCAGAAACCCTTGTAGGAAGCAATTTCAGTTGGGGTAGGGTGGGGGGCAGTCATGGAAGGGCATTATCAACTACCAAAAAATCCTTGAAAAAAGGGCATCAGATGTTTTAACAGTATTCAAGATTAAAAGTCCATCACACAATACATTTTTTTTTGGAGCAGAGCAAAATTGGACATAAAAAACATCGGAGGTTGGCTCAGATGCCATGTGAGAGTGAGCATCCCTTCCGTTCAAGCGATTGAGAAGATTTCATTTATGATAGGTACCCGGTCTCTTGAGGTAGGCGTTAACTTTACTTTTGCAAATGTTCCAAAATTTAATCTTGCATGGTAATAGCTTTTGAACAGTTGGAGCTTTAATATTTCACGTGTATATCGTGTATTTAGTAATTTTGAACTTTGGACCTAAAACTTTGATTTAGACCAATTTTTAAAAAATATATACCTTGACCAGAACTTCTGAATGGGGTGTGGTAAGACTTTTGTATATCACATGTATTTCTTCATCCCAAATCTATTTTGGGTATCAACGTCTTTCTCCTTATGTTCTCGAGCTTGGAGTTTGGCCTACATTTGTTTTGACTTTTGAGCGTTTGCTGCTCGAACTTTGATCATGCAATACTTGTGACAAGGCCTTATCCCCGTTATCCAAAGGATTTTTTTATACCTAAATAACATTTGCAAAAGTAAAGTTAACGCCTACGTCAAGAGACCAGGTACCTATCATGACTGAGATAATTAACTCGTAAGTAACGAGATAACTAAGTCGTTATAACGAGATACTAACTCGTTATAACGAGATAATTAACTCGTTATAACGAGATACTAACTCGTTATAACGAGATAATTAACTCGTTATAACGAGTTAATTTTTTTTTATCTTCTCAGAAATGAGCCTATCCGGCTTTCGTAAAACAAGACCTTTCTTTGGAGATCAAAATTTTCAAATTAATGACGTTGAAGTTTGATCTAATTATTTTGAAAAACTTGAACATTAGCTTTGAGCTGCCATACTGGGACATCGGTGCTTCACAAATACTTGTTATTGTTGTAGAAACCTTAGAAGTCCCCAAAATCTCGAAGTCTAGAAGAAACAGTCGGAAAAACCTTGCATACATGTGCGTGTATAATAAATCGAAACAACATTAAATATAAAGAAGAAATAATAATTCAACTGTAATGAAAAATTAAGTAACAATTGAAGAATTAAAATGTAACTGTACCAGAATAATATTTAGGAACATGCGCAGAAGGTGCTAATAAAAAACAAGAATATTTTTTTTCTTTTTAATTTTCTGATTTATTGTTTGAAATTGAACACTGTTTGCAGCACGATAGGATTGAGCAGAGTTAGTACTGTTACCACAGAGAGGCTCAGTAAGGATACATATCCTTTTCACCTTTATCCCCTTTGTCCCCCTTTGGCCCTCTATGTCCTCTGGGACCCGGTGGTCCTTTGGGTCCTGGGTGACCTCTCGGTCCAGTATCTCCTTTAGGACCTTGGTCCCCCTTGGGTCCGACTTCTCCCTGGGGCCCTGGGTCTCCCTTATCACCTTTCTCCCCTTTGTCACCTTTAGCCCCTGTATCTCCTTTCTCGCCCGGCTCCCCGGGGTCTCCCTTGTCCCCTTTCGCGCCTTTATTTCCCTTGGGACCCATTGGGCCCTGTATACCTTGAGGTCCAACATCTCCTTTATCTCCCTTTTCTCCCCGTCTCCCTTCTCTCCTTTATCCCCTTTAACTCCTGGGTGTCCCCGGGGACCAGTGGGTCCTCTTTCGCCCGGGTCTCCTTTTGGACCTCGAGGGCCTCTGTCTCCTTTTTCACCTCTGTCTCCCTTAGGTCCTTGCTCACCTGGATCGCCGGGGTCACCCTTTTCGCCTTGTATACCTGGAGGGCCCGTGTCTCCTTTTGGCCCTCTGTCTCCCTTGGGTCCTTGTTCACCGGGAATGCCCTGGGGTCCCTGATCGCCCTTCTCGCCCTGGGGACCTGGATCCCCCTTTTCCCCTCGTTCTCCCTGGATTCCCTGTTCTCCTCGTTCACCCTTTTCTCCTTTATCTCCTTTCTCTCCTTTTTCCCCTTGAGGACCTGGTGGACCCATGTCTCCTTTCAATCCGGGAATTCCTCTGTTACCCTTTCGGCCCGGCAGGCCCGGTATTCCGGGATGCCCTGGAGGTCCTTTATCGCCTTTTGGACCTGGAGGTCCTGGATGGCCTTTAGGTCCCACTGGTCCTCTCATTCCTGGGTCGCCTTTCTCTCCCTTCTTTCCGGGCTTGCCTTTAGGCCCCACTGGCCCAGGAGGTCCGGGTTCACCTTGCGGACCTGTGATTAAATAACATCACTTAGATAAGACGTTAAACAAATGAAGATATTTTTATATGTACTGTGCATCATTCATTTTTTTCTTACACATTCTTTCAAATAATGACATTTAAAAAAATCTTTTCGTTTAATTCATGTTTCATAAATGTCAAATGTAGGAAGCCGATACTTTTTACATGTAAACTTTAATGCTACGTTTTTTAGAAAAGAGAGCAAGTCGTTCTCTATCTTGTATTTTGGGATATAAAAATACAAGAAGCAGAATTAATTATACCACTAAGATCTTAAAAGAATTTTGATAATTTAAAGCAGAATATGCCACTATTTAATAATATTTTCCAATTTTATCATTTAATGAGAGTTTTAGAATTTACAAATGACTTAGATTTTTAGTCTGTAATCTGACCCTATTTTCTCTACTTTTGAAAATTCTAGAGGATAAAACTATTGATTTTTTGTTTCGTCTTACCATTTTTTGGAAACTTTAATCACGAAGAATTTTTTTTTTTGGATTTGGAGAAATATATTTTATATATTGCTTGAATTCTGCAAGAAAAATATTCAAAGACAATGGACTATGCGTGAACAGAAACACAGTGGTTTACATGTACTTACATTGAGAAAAGCAATGGAAATAATGAATTCAATTACTCATTCTTGGCCTAATATACACAATGCTAAGCATTTTTGTGTCTATCACAAATTGTGTAATTAAATGTAAATACTAAATACCAATTTCGTTTATCTCACTTCTAAGGACAGATCACTGTAACAGCATATAGCTGCCCTTCAATTAGAACTCTTTCGTGTGCAGTGTTTAGAGCTTCCTTAAGATTCAGCATTTATGTCTATTGAGACTGCTTACCTTTAATGTAGTGTTTGGAACACTTTGATACAGCATGCTGGAGATGTGAAATGAGATCCTGTAAATGCTGGACCTCTGCCTTAAGTTCTAAGTACTGTCTCCGGCATTTGTCCCATTCCTTATCGTATGCCCTCGCGGCGGTCTGCCACGCCAGACAGAGCGTCATTACTACAGCTAAGGCGAGCTGCATCCTGGTCCGCTAACTTACACAACTAATACAGTCAGGGGGTTTATATAGGGTCTCACAATATAGCTCACCAACAGGCCAGTCAGGGTTCATTGTGTAATCAATCGAGCAAGGACACGCCCTCATTTACATAAAACATATCCTGTTAACAGCAGTAATTCTTTATCGTATTTATGAACCGAACTAGAAAATCAAAGTTGTTATTTACAGATTATAATTTATGTTTTATTTTGGCCGCTGCTTAAACTTGGTTTTCATAGTAGAATACGCAACAGTGAATGATCAGAAATAATTTTGCAGTAAAATTCTTCCTAACAATGATATAACTCCCGAGTGCAACTTCCATTTACATGAAGTGCATGCTGTAGTAATCACACTTGCATGTGGAACTGTGTAAAACTTAAAATCATACCCACTGTAATACTGTATATTCCTTTTTTTTTTCGCGAGTACGTATCGCGAATGGGCTCGTCAGCGTCAAATCGCAAGCATAATAATTCGCGAATGGATGGTTGGTCAAGAGATTTTACGTTTATTTCAGCACCATAAAAATAAGGGAGAGTGCTTTTCGTAAAATTACGCGATAATAAATTCCATGCGTATATTTAGGAATCTACAGTATACACATCGTCTCAAGCCACGGTCCGGAGTCCGCATATAGCTCTCTCCTATGGGAGAGGAGCGTACATGTTGGCCGTGGTTTGCGACGATGCAGTATACACTGTCGAATATTAAACCAAGAGTTTGATTTTTAAAAGAGAAAAAAGTAAGTCATCATCATATTGTAGTAGAAATTTTCTTGATCAAATTATTAATATGCAAATTAGTTATCAATCACATGCTTCCTAGTGTACACAGGCTACAACAGGCTATGTTACATCAAACGTTGTAGAGACCAAGACAAAGACGATGACTCAGCGTCTTTGGGTAAGACTATAAATAGGGGCGAGCACTGGTGCTGTAGTTAGTCTATTGGTAGCCGTTGATCTGTGCGGATCGTGATAAAAAGGTAAGGAACTTATTGAGCTTCACTTGCGGGTCTCAGTATACTGTAGACATACCATTTAGGGTACATGAGGTTCCAAACCTATTGAAATAATAAAAGTTTAATTAAGAGTGTTTGGAAACACTGTTCTGAGACATACGATCTATGAGCTTTTGAAGCTCGAATAACTGGATAGCTAATTTACTAGGACAGCTTAGGAACATTGAAAACCATGGGAGAACCATTGTATATACACAAATTTAATTCAACGTAATTCTCGTTTAGTTTATTTTGACCAATCAGTCATAGACAATGGTAACGTAAGGAAAATTATATATTTCTTTCTTCATGACAGGAGAGCCCACAGTATATTTCACAAAACTTGGTGGCAGCGGTGGAATGATTTAAACAAAGTTTTTGTTGTTGTTATTCTAAGCTTAAATTAGTGTACATCATATTCGGGTCTCAAACTGCTGCAGACAAACCATTTGAAGTACATAACTCATACTTTATCAAGTTGTGTTTTGTATTTTGAGTTACGTTTAAGCTATGAGTTTCAATCACTTTCAATCGTGGTTTGAAGATCACGTTTAGGTCTAAGTCATGGAAGATATGCTAGATAAAGAGATACTGTAAATGTATTATATTTAGCTTGTACAGGGTGTTTCATAATATATGTTACATTTGAGACCCAATTATTTTTCTTACCTATCATATTTCTATTACAACCTGTATATCATTTTAAACATCGAATCCTGCATTTTTTTTCCATGTGAAAAAGTCAAGGAAATAATGGTCTTGAACGAGTAATTGTGCTATAAACGTCGATGTCAAAATTTGAATGTTTTTCGAAATGGACTTGACTTATCCACTCGTTGCTGAATTTTAAAGCTGTTTTTTTTTCAAATCATGTCGTCAATATTTATTCTGTTTATTCAAAACTTCATGAAATACCCCCCCCCCCCCCCCCCCCAAAAAAAAATAGCTTTCTAGGATGCTTATCAGAAGGGAAGTACATGTAACAATGTTAAAGAAAGGGACTGGCAGTATGCGATAAATGACACAGTATTTCAGAAACCCAAAAGACTTTGAGAAGTGGATATTTTATTTGTGAAGTCGAGACTCATAGTGTAGCAAACTTCTGAGAGAAAAGTATCTGATGTATATTTTCAGCAATTAATTCTGGCAATATCAGCATTTTAAGCATATAATGAACTTTTAAATATGATTTGAAAGTAATTGCTATACACATTTTCAATTATTAATGCAAGGGAAGAGTTAAAACTCTGCATTCGACAAGCTTAATTTCTGGGCTCTCCTCTGAAAGGTTCGTATGGAAGGGGGTCTACAATCCTGACCACAGACACTGAATGAGCTTAAAAAAGAACATGGACCTTCCAATGAGTATAGTGTCTAACCAAAAATATTTGACAAGATTTTATACAAATTTTAAGAAGCAACTTCAATTGTTGTTTAATAAATGGAGATCATTTGGAATGTGTAATGTAAACTTGTGACGTTGTGAAATTCAAAGTAGCAAAAATGGCGCGACTTGAAATTTTCGCTATTAATTTTAACGATTTTGTTCAGTGTTTAATATTTTAGTTGGTAATTGTACATCATGAATCTTATGGACATGAGCATCAATTTGATTAAAAGAATTATAGGTATCTTTTTTATTTTGTCTGTGAAATTAAAGATTTAAAATGTAACATATATTATGAAACACCCTGTACGATATTTGGCGGAAAATGACTTTTGAATAAGTTAGCGTTGATTTGAAATAGTGCATTTCTTTATATTCTTATTTCTGTACATATCTGCAAGACATTTAGCGTTGTGCTTGATTTAGCGGTTGCTGCGTTCCGCCAAAGCCGCTAAAAAGAATACACAACCAAAAATAATACGTTTACAGTAAGCTTTTTGGAAGAGCAATTGAAAGATCTCTCTAACGAAAGTATTCGACTTCAACAAAGGAACAACAGAAGATATCTACTCCAATAACTTAGAGATTCTGGAATTGGTGATTCGGAACAAAGCACGAATTTCTGTTGTTTTCCTTACGACAGTTTAATCAAGTAATACAACTACTAAAAAAGCTTTAATTGTAGAGAACCTGGGCATTTCAAGAGAAATCGTACGTTGCAGAATGCAGAGAAACGGAAAGATAGTTTCAGAGAGTTTGGTTCTAAACCACCCAGAGTACTAAAGGAAAAGGGTTACACTAAAGAGGGCATCGCCTTAGCTTAAGAAAACAGGAGACCAATCAAGAAGGTTGTATTGGAGTACAAAGAAAACGACATGTGCATCTTGGATACAACTAATGATTACAATATTAGTAGATACAGGAGCAACAGTAACTCCTCCGTCACAAAAAGTATTTGAGGTCATTAACCGTGATAGGAAGATAGAGTTGGCTGAAACGGATTTAAATACCCTAAAATCTTGAAAATAAGACGGATTTAATAATAAGCCGGTTTTGAAAATAAGCCACCCATTTCTTGCATTAAAAATTACTCGAAAATAAGCCAGTTTTGAAAATAAGCCGGTCATGACAATGCCATTTAGGAAAGATGTTAAACATTTGAAGATTTTCTCGTCTTAAAAATCTGACAAGTGGAAACTTTGACAATATTTATTTCCTGTGCAAAATAAAAAGTTATCTTTCTTTAATTTGTTTAACCTTTACAAACTTATGCATATGACATAGTACGAAGGAGTAACAATGTCACTAATAAACTTATGTAAAATTACAAAATAAAGTGTTGTTTATGAATTTTATTTTTTTTACCAGAAATCATGTCACGCTGGTTAAAAAATAAAATTAACTGCGGAACCAGCTTAAGGAGGCTGGAGGGTCAACAAATTAATCCCAAATTAACCACCAGATTTTACTTATTTTTTTTAGATACGGTATCTTTAACTGTGAACTATCATTTGACAAAGAAAAAAATCTGAAATTTTAGTTTAAAAATTTGATCATTTTCTATATCTTTATATGGAGCTCTCCTTTTAAAGGAGATTGAAATAGTCTAAAAATGGCTGCCACCCCCAAGCCTCGTTAAATGGTGATTTTTTTTCATGTAATTGTCAGAACAATAATTATCTCATCAAGACCTGTACAAGCTAATGATGTGTTTGGAGTGGTAATTAAATAAGTAAATGGATAAAAAGGAAGTTTTTGTTTGTAAAGCATTGAACTGCCAGGTAATACTGCCCGAAGCAAGAAACCAGCTGATCTGCAGGGCTTGGTAGTAATTAAATTTCAATGTACCGTATAGTTGAGTTGTTTACATATGTGTTAGTTTGATTAATATATCAAGTAATTCAATTGCAAGCGGATATCTTAAATATTATTTTTACTTTTTTAAAACAAGTTTATTTTTCATATAAATTCATATGCTGTATACAATAAAATTAACCTTTCGGGATCGGCATTCTCAAAATTTAAAGTCGACAATCCTAAAGAACTTACACTGGGAAACGCAAATGAATCCAAGAGTGCTCTCTTCTCTTACCAGCTTTTTGCTTTCATAATAAGCCGCAATTTGAAAATAAGCCGGTCTTGAAAATAAGCCCCCACTTTCTTACCAAAACTTAAAATTAGCCTAGGCTTATTTTCAAGATTTTAGGGTATTTGTCAGCTACAGCGCGAATTTAGGAAGAAAACAATCTACCAAACATCTTTAAATGCATTAAAAACATTAAAATAGATGCGATTTTAGGTTTTGACTATCTGCAGAATAAAAAAGGTGTAATCAAATCTACAAGATAAGACACTTATGTTGGGAGATGAGACTCATTGTTTGAAATTGAAGGGAGAATAGATTGTTTCAGAATTGTTACATCAGTCACTTCCTTCAAAGAGTGAAATAGTCACCACTTGGAAGGTAATTGTCCCAGAAAACCATGAATTTGAGACAGCATTTGGTGTTGTTGAACCCTCTTGTTCATATATCAATTTCGTTAGGGGTTTGGTAGGAAGAACCTTAGTGAAAGGAAATTAATGTGTTCCAATACGTTTGATAAACCTAACTG